AAAAAAAAGTAAAATACGTATGCCTGTAGTTCTTGGATTGCATACTGTAAATAGCACATATCACAAATAGGTTCGAGGAAATTAAGAAAAAACCCTACTTACGCTCTGTTCCTCCGATAGGTTCCCTCACAGACCATCTCTGCTAGCGGCATCGGAGGTGAACCCCTTTAATAGAATAATTACCGTACAGGATCCTGGAGTTCCTGGAGGACAAAAGTTCGAGTTTAAGGGTCCCGTTCCGAATCTGATGGACTACCTTGCTAAAGCTCTTAATTTCACGTAAGGTATCACGAATGTTTTTGGAAGTGTATAACAGAACACAGCTAATTTTTTGTTTAGTGGGGCTTTGTTATGAATAAGGCAAATGAACTATTTATAATTATGTAGTGCAATGTGATAATGGAGCTTAATAGATCACTGTAAATTGAGGGCTTGGTTAATGCAAGGTCGAACGCGCCAAAATTAAGTTTTGAGAGAATGAGGTTTAAAGTTTGCACATATTCAAAACGTTATATAACGTCCAAAATTTCGATCAGATGTGTTCAATGAGGTCTCATCTTAAAGGCGATTGAAAGCAGGATATGATCCCTGTAATAATTGAAGTGTGATGTATGATTTTGGTGTACATTGACATCAAATAATGAAATGGTGTGAGATTAACATTCGTGAAAATAATGAAAAAATTGAAGTTCTGTGCACAAAACAATAAATTTTTATTATAATAAAGTAAAAAACAAAACAAAAAAACACATATTAAATAGTGGTAACATACTCTAGAATTTAGATGATGATTATGCTCCACTAAAGAACTTGGTTGCAGGAGGGTAGGGAAGGTGGCTACTAGTCTATCTGATCATCACCAAATACATCCTCCTCCTGGACGCCGAAAATAGAACGTAGCGGGCTTCTCTTTGGTTTGGTAGGCAACACACTTCACACTTCGCTCCTGAACTAAGAAGACCTCTCAGCAAGACCTCCTGCTGGACCCGGAACTGTGAAGACCGCCCTCTCTCTGCTGCCATTGTTTGGCCATCTTCCCGGACCGGACCATCCACCACTGACATCGTCGACAACAACTCACGAGCCTTTTCGGTTTATCGAACATTAGCTTGCCCTCCCCACTGGTGGTGTGAGTGACCCACACTCCAGCTGGAGAGCAGCTATAGCGCGATATTCTCGACGTGGTTTGAGCTCTTTTCCTTCTACTGCTATTTTTCCTTTTTTCACTCTGGCCTAGGGACCTGCACCCTCAAAAACTGTATTCGTCCTGCGGTCCCCCCTGTAACTATTCACCTCCCTCCCAGGAGATTGTGAACACGAAAGGGGGTTGGAGCAAGAACCCATCCCAGCCGAGTCTTTCCAGGAAAACCGTGATCGTGCGGGTCCACCTGGAAAGAGGGTAGCAATCCTTATCCTTCCCCAATAGGCACACTTAGCTCACGTCTATAAGTGAGCAGTCACATACACTAGGAAGTAGGTTTAAACGGGGCTCCGGGAGAGAAGCTCTGGAACCACTCTACGACCACCACCCGGCCATCATTGCCTGTGGGGAGTGCTGAAATTCCTCTGCTAATTACTCAACCGGAATAGGTAGGTTCTAAACAAAAAAAATACGAAAGAAACCAACAGGTTCTAAAAAAACAAAACAAAAAAAACACCACAACAACCACCGGTTATGGAGCGCGTACGCCCTCCTAACCGCCAACCTGACGACCCGAACCACGACAGGCTCCGCACAGAGAAAGCGGACCAGTTACGCGCCTTCAACGAAACGCTGAAAAGCAGGAACACTGCCACCACCTCCAACAACTCCACCACCACTGCTACCGCCACTGAGGACGACAACTGGACGAAGGTAGAAAAAAAAACGCCGACGTGCTTTTTCGGGAAACGAATGCCGTCAAGCAGCCCAAAAGGCACCCATCACCACCACCAGCTCACCTCCAACGACACTACCAAAATTCCGGATCTCGAAAACGGACACAAAAATGACATATGCGGCCATCACAGAGATGGAAAAACTAAATCCACTGGACAAGTTCTCAGTGCAACCCAACCTAAAAGGGGAGATCATTATTCACCCCATAGACAAGGACTCCGCCACCACCCTCGACACTTACCTGCAAAACACCACCACCGTTGCATCAACCAAGCTGGACCCCGCTCAGAAACTGATGAAGTCGGTAGTCCTCCGGTACCCAAAGGAACTACCCCTCGAACCCCTGGAGAACCACCCGAAGATCCTAAAAGCCGAGAGATGCTCTCCCCCGTCCGACAAGACGGCCACCACAAAACAGGTGCTCATAACGCACTACGGTTCACCCCCTAGCACCATAGACCTCAAAACCTGGGGGATCTACGAAGTGAGGCCCTTCGTCCCAGAGCCCCTGCGGTGCTTCAGATGCCAGAAATACGGGCACCATCAGACAAGGTGCACGTACAAGGAAATCTGCGCACAGAAGCACGGCACACACTCCTGCCTCACCAAGTTGAAAAATGGAGAAAAAATTGCCCCCAAGTGTGCCAACTGCGGGGGCAAACACCACGCCTGGAACCCTGGATGCTCCGAGAGGACAAAGAGGGTCCAGGCAAACCGACCAGCAGCAAGACCGGTCCCCACAGCCTGCACACCAGCCCCACCAAGTACCTTCGTGTGGGGAACCCAAAGGCCAAAACAACAAAGCCAACCTCCTCAGCCGGTCAATACCCAAAGTGCAGCCCAGTTTCCTGGCCTCACTACGGACACACCTCAGCCACCCAAGCAGCAGACAACGACAGCCACGAAAAAGACAAAAGAAGCACACACCAAGGCACCAGAAGGAATGATACACGTATCAGACCTAGCCAAGGTACTGACAACCTTCGCGGAGGGCCTAGCCGGACTACTGGGCCACAAGATCCAACCCACACAGCTCCAAATACTCATGGGGAGCGTCCTCGGGCAAGTCGCCACAGCTCCAGCCACCTCAGTGGAGGAAGCCACGCCGGTCCTCACACGAGTGACAGCCGAGGTACACTCTACACCGAAGAAGGCCACCAGAGAACCCAAGATACCGACAGCTCCCAGAAAGAAATTGGACGTTTCAACTCCCCTGAACCGAACCACGGCCCAGAAGGCAAAAACCACAGAACACGAAGATATGAACCTGATCCAGTTGGAATCGAACTTGGACATCTCCATCGAGGACCACCAGAAGTCCCCGATGAAACAGTGGTGGAAAACATCAGCACCCTGAACATCCTAACATGGAATGCTCAGGGCATCAAAAACAAGAAACACCTCCTACAAGAAGCAGCAGCCAAGGACACGCTTGACATCATACTGCTACAAGAAACACTTCTACAAGAACACCACTGTTTCAAATTCAGTGGTTACAAGACATACAGGAGGCATTTCAAGCAGGCGTCAACAAGAGGATGTATGATCTTGGTCAAGTCAAGCATACCCTCCGCCGATGTCACGCAGCAATTTCCATGTGGGGAAAACATCGAGACACAGGCCGTCAAAGTAACCCTCCAAGAACGGGAATTAACTGTTCACAACATCTACAAGAACCCAAGGGGCTCACTGGAGGTGACTCAATTATTTGCTTCGGCCGCTGACCACGCCACACTCATAGGAGGGGATTTCAATGCACATCATCCCTTCCTAAGCTCGGTAAGCCCCACAAATGAAGACGGCCTACACCTATACACCACCTTTCAAGATACACCCGAGATCTGCCTCCTGAACACCGGAGAGCCCACCCACACTAGGGGAGGAAGGCTAGATCTAACCTTCGTCTCCAGTGCACTACAGCCTTCGGCCTCCTGGCAGATACACCCCACGCTGACCAGCGACCACTTCGCCACCCTAACAACGCTGAAGGTGAACAAACTCCCCACTCCACCCCCGCCGAGATGGAGATACAATACCCAAAAGGCAGACTGGGGACTCTTTAAGAAACACCTGGCTAAGTGGCGCGAAAAATCACAGCCGGCCGGCGCAGCACCCGTGGATGAGACAACCCTCCACCACCAATTGGTCGAGGCGTTTCACCAAGCGGCAGAAGAGGCTATCCCAAAAACAAAACCCACATCAAGACAGTACAATGATTACTGGTACTACTGTCCCAGGGTGAAAGAACTCAACCACAGAGTGAACATGGCCCGAAGAAACTACAGGAGACATCCCACGGAAACAAACAGACATCTCCTGCAAGTCATAGATAAGGATACCAGGGAAGAGAAGGAAGAAATAAAAAACGTAAGCTGGCTCAAGTGGTGCTCCGAACTGAACGAGCACACCTCCTTTGGCAAGATGTGGGCCCAGATCCGAAGGGCATCTGGGAAGGCAACACCACCACCACCAACCCATCCCAACCCAGAAGAGGAAGCCGAGAGACTTGCAAAACTGTTCTCTGACCGAGCAGCAACGAAAAACCTCCCGAGACAGGCGGAGGAGACACAACGGCGTCTGCGACAGGTCAGACTCCAGATGATCGAAGAGGCCTGCAACAGTGAAGATGACACTGACAGACCTTTCAACCAGCAAGAACTCCAGAAGTCGCTAAAACGAAGCAAGGACACAGCACCAGGGGCCGACAGGATAACCTACTCCATGCTTTCTCATGCCGGTACAGCCGGACACGAGGCTCTGCTACAAGTCATCAATGCTTCGTGGACAGCACAAAGACTCCCACCGGAATGGAAGAAGGCAGATATACAGCCCATTCCGAGGCCCAGAGAACCAGACAAACCGAGGCCCATCTCCCTTCTCAGCTGCATAGCGAAGACGGGAGAAAGAATGGCTCTCAACCGACTCAAGTGGAAAGTAGGCAGCCCACACCCTCACATCTTTGCTTACACCGGGAACACCGGCACAGGCAACAACATCGCCGAGATACTCAGCACAGTGGACAACAAACCAGCTCTGGTGGTCTTCCTCGACCTGGAGAAAGCCTTCGAACTAGCAAATCCTTTGGCCATTACAACTACGCTCGCTAAAAAAGGCGTCAAAGGAAGGTTGCTGGGGTGGATCCAGAACTACCTCACACAGAGAGAAGCAAGAGTACGCTTTCAGGGAGCAACCTCAAGCTACAGGGTCCATGAAAACGGAACCCCACAAGGAGGCATCCTCAGTCCAATGCTGTTCAATGTCCTGATGGAAAATCTAGTCAAACTTCCTTTCAGACAAACAGCCAAGCTTCTATGCTATGCAGACGACTTACAGCTTATAGTAAGAGGATCGAACAGACTAGCCAACACGCAACACGCACTCCAACTTATAGAAGAGGAGT